ATTAAAGGCATGTGTCACCATACCTAGCTGCATTTTAATTTTTAGTATTTTATTTTTTTATTGTTTTTATTGTATCTGAATGAGTGTACTACATGAATGTGTATAAGTGCATCCATGTTGTGCAATGCCCTCAGAGGTCAGAAAAAGGGCGTTGGATTCCTCTGGAACTGGAGTTAATGTATGGCTGGTTGTCAGCCACCATGTGGGTTCATGTACTTTGGTACTAAAATACATGGGTGCTGGGAATCGAACCTGGGTCCTCTGCAAGAGCGGTCAATGCTCTTAATCTCTGAGCCATTCTCCAGTCCCAGCCTCCCAATTTTTTATCTCAAACAAAATGTTCACTTTTTTTGAGACAGGGTGTCCCTGTAGTCCCAGCTGACCTAGATCAGCCTGAGATCAGGCTGTCTTCCAGCTCACAGAGATCTGCCTGCCTCTGCCTCCCAGCCCCGGGATTAAAAGAGTGTACCATCACACTCACTTTGTATATGAACCAAAATATGTTTAAAATATGTCTCACTACATCATAGCCCAAGCTAGCCTCAAACTCACAATCCTTCTGCCTCTGCACCCAAGTGCTAGGATTATAGTGATGCACCAAGGTGCCCATCCTAGAAACACAATTTTTATTAAAAGTTCATAAAATTCAAAAGAGGAACCATATACATTTAAGGTCCAAATTCAGACTTCGAAAATATTAATCAAAGGCTGGGCATGGTGGCGCATACCTTTAATCCCAGCACTTGGGAGGCAGAGGCAGGTGGATCTTTGTGAGTTCGAGGCCAGCCTGGTCTACATAGTGAGTTCCAGGACAGCTGGGGCTACAAGGAAAAAAAAAAAAATAAAAAAAAAAAAAAAAAAAAAAAAATTAGTCGAAATTTAAAGTTTCTATTTTAAAAAAAAAAGTACACAGATGCATTCACATTCTTACAGATTTTTTAACAAGATTTTGACCTTTAAGCTGATTTCAGACTGGCATTTAAAAAACTAAAAAAAGAACACAAAATTTACACAATGAAACGTGCCCTCCAATCTAAAAGCAAAAATCAAAATAACCTACACTGGAATGTAACAGAAACCACTGAGTTTACTCAGATTATCAAAAGACACAGTTGTAACTACAACCTCCTTTCCCTACTTCAGTCAGCACCACCTCCTATTTCATCATCCATTTAACAGAAGACCAATGGTCTGAGCTTCAATGGTGGCAAATGTTTTCTTCAACAAGATTTGCATTAAGATTCTGCATTAAGTCTACAGCACCCGAGGTAGTCATATGCACATGTCATAATTTTTTATTTATTTTATGTGTATGAGTGTTATGCCTGTATGTGTATAAGTGCACCCATGTCATGCAGTGCCCATGGAAGACAGAAGAGGGCATTGGATCCCCTGGAACTGGAGTTATGGATGGTTGTTAGTCGCCATGTGGGAGCTGGTATTCGAACCCTGGTCTACTGCAAGAACAGCCAGGGCTCTTAACCACTGAGCTATCTCTCCAGCCCTGTACATGCCGTATCTAAGTGACATAAGATTCAACTGTGAAAGAATTTTAAGGAATTAAAGTCAAAGAGGACCGGTCCTCATAATTAATTTTCTGTATCTGTGCATGGTATGCATGTGTGATCTGTATTTACATATATGGGAGTGCATGTAGAAGCTAGACATTAATGTCAGGTGTTTTCCTCCATCACTCTCCATCTTATATTTTGAGACAGGGTCTCCCAATTGAACCCAGAGTTCACTGATTCAGCTAGTCTAGGTAGACAGCTTGCTCTGGATTATAGGATGACCACCATGATGGCCCAGCATCTGTGGAGGTGTTGGGGATCCAAACTCCAGTCCTCAACAATTTTACAGTAAGTGCTTTACCCACTAAGCCACCCAGTCCAGGTGATAGGGTTCTTGCTAAGCTGTCCAGACAACCTCCAACTCACAATCCTACCTCATCCTCTGAAGCAGAGGGGATTACAGGCATGGGCTACCCATGTTCACAGCACACATTTTCTACTTTGATACAAGCTTAAATATAACACTCATAATTCACATATATGCCTAAATCAAATTTCTCCAATATATATAGCACATGAATAAAGACTAATGAAATAACTCTATTCAAATACAACACAAAACTGCAAATGGTACAGTCACAGAAAAACTACAATTATTAGGAATATGAATAACAGGACTTTGATTTCTTGGCATTCTTCCCTCTACTGAAAATCTAATCTAGTCCCCAAAACAAATACAAGATGCTGATGTTCTTGGAATCTTGGTATCTGTTCCCAATTTGCAGCTAACAACTGGAATTCAAGAAAGCTAAAAACAACTGAAAATCTCTAATCCTCATTAAAATATGGAAGATATTGCATTCAAGTTTAACAAAAAAGTTCACCCTATCACACCATACAACTTAGTATCTCTACTTACTTTGTAGTCAATGATTAAAAACAAAAGCATCACAAGGCTTGTGACCAGCACCAATAGTTAGAAACCTATTCAAAGCCCTTCACTCAACTTGCTTTTTTTAAAAAACAAAATTATCTAACCAGGTGTCATTGCACACACCTTTAATCCTAGCACTCAGGAGGCAGACACTAGCAGATCTCTGTGAGTCTTAGACCAGCCTGGTCTACATAGTGCTACAGGGAGACCCTGTCTAATTAAGTAAGTAAGTAAGTAAGTATTGAATCTGAAACCAAGGGAGCACAAAGCTATATTCTCTAAAGAGAAAACTACTGTGGTTACTTCATATGAGGTATAAACAGCTGAGGTGTGGAGAGACGACACACTTGTTAAAATGCTTGCCACACATGGTTGAAGAACTGAGTTTGATCCTCTAGAACCTATGTAAAACACGGGATGCAATACCACACCTACAATCCCGTTGCTGGGAAGACAGAGAGAGGAGGATCCCTAGGGCTGAATGGCTAACCAGTCTAACCAATCAGCAAGCCTGGGGCTCAGTGAGACCCTGTCTCAAAAACCAAGGTAGCAAGCAATTGAAAAAGACACCCAATGATTATCTCTGGCCTTCACGCGCAGCTTGGCACACACACATGCACACATGAACACACAAAGATAAATAACTAAATCATATTAATAAAAATTTCACAATAAGCAACACTTTCTAACGTTTATTTAAAAATTACTTCACTCACTGCCCAGTCCTGGAAGCTGGACCAGGCCTGCCCTACACAATCCATTTGTATCACCAGGGCCCTTCAATTTGCCCAGAACATAAAACTTTCAAAATCAAATGGCAACAACAGTAACCAAATTAGGTACAGGTTGTGTTTGTTTACAAACACTAGCTCCAAATAAAATTAACACCTCGAAAAGACAAAGTGTTCTTACATTTTCTCTGTTTAATTCATTTTTTTTACTCTTCTTTTCCTTCCTCGTCATTGAAGTAGACTGGGATACCAAATTAAGTGATAAGGCGGAGAACAGGTAGTTCCCCAAGGATGCAAGAATGTACAATGCACACTTGGCAGGGAGATCGACGGGGATGCAGGAGCACACAACACACACAGACAGACACACACACACACAACAATGCTCAGAGGAAGCTTTCAAGAAATGTCACTATGTAACGGAAGTTTTGAGGCCGTATTTAGGCCTACGGCCAGCCCTGTCTAATACACTGTAAAATACAGCCTAGAAAAGCTCCATTCTCCAAACCAAGAATTTCCTACAATGCTGGAAAAGGAAAGGGCATGGATTCCGGACCCCCTCAGGCCTGACGCCTCTCACGTGGATGGCAGGGTAGCCCACGTGAATGGTAGTGCCACCACATCAGTTTTATGACAGATCCACTGGGAGCATCCGACTGGAATTCAGGGCCCTGTAGGGCCGAGGCCACGGGAAGAGGAACCTAAATGCAATCTCCAGGGCCCTCCTACTTCCGTCCTCAAAGCAGAAATGCTGTCAATCTTAGACCTCAGCTCAGCACCTCTTGGCAGCCTTTCCCCCTTCAAAGAGCTTAGGTGGAAAGCAAAGCAGACCGTCACGGTCAGGGGTGGCTGGAAGGCCGGCGCTCAAAGTCCCCCTCCCCCGCCCTGCCGGCGCCTGAACCACCGCTTCCCTAGTGCCCCGCAGACACCAGAGCAGCCGTCCCGCAGCCCCCTTCTCCTTCCTCCCGGGCGAAGGGGGCAGAAAAGAAAGAGGAACTAAGAGACCTGCAAAAGGATGCCCAGAAATCTAGCTCGCAGAGGGGGTGGGGAGGAGGGAGCGAACGGCAAGCGGAAGGAAGGGGAAAGGAGAGCAGCTGGAGGGGAAGCAGCGAGGGCGCGCAGACCTACGCGACTCCGGGAGAGCGACGGTGCCCGGTCTCCTCCAGCGGGCACGGGGCGGGGGCGCGGGCGCGGGGAGAGGCTGAGGGCGCGCCAGGGGGTAAGGAGGCCCGGTCCCCTCCGGCCACGCCTCGCCGCTGGGGGACAGCCAGCAGGGCTGCGGGGGGGGGGGGGGGGGGGGGGGGGGGGGGAGGAGAGAGTGTATGTGTGTACCCTTGTGTATGCAGGTGGGCGTGCATGTGCTTGTGGGCGTGCATGTGCATGTGGAGGCCAGAAGTTGATGTTAGTTGTCTTTCTCAATTGCTCTCTTGCTCTATCGGAGGACAGTCCCAGAGATCGGCGGATACTCCCGGAGACCAGCGAGTGCTCCCTGGGGTAGCTGGCGCTGCAAAAGGGTAGCGGATGCTCCTCGGGCCAGCGGATGCTCCCAGGGACCCACTGATGCTCCCAGGGCCCGGAGGGTGCTCCTGGGGATCGACTGATGCTCCCGGGGCCCAGAGGGTGCTCCCGGGGATCGACTGGTGCTTCCTGGGCCCGGAGGGTGTTCCCGGGGATCGACTGGTGCTCCCCGGGCCAGCGGGCGCTCCTGGAGCCAGCGAATACTCCCCGGGACCAGCGGGTACTCCCCGGGCCAGTGGGCGCCCGCTCTCTCGCCCTGCCCCAGGGAGGTGGCTCCGGGAAGCCTCGGGTGGCGGGGCAGGTTACCTGAAGCGAGGCGAGTCCTTGAGACACTCCTCGAAATCCACCGTCATCTTCATCCTGCCTCCGCCTGGCCTCACAGGCGGCGACCGGACAGCCTGGGACGGCGGGAGCGGCTGCAGCGGGACCCGGACGGCTTCGGTGGGTGCTCGGCCGCCACTAGCGCTGCGCGGAGCTCCGGAAGGCGCAGCGCCAGCTGGGCATAGCAGCCGCGAAGACAGCGAGGGCTCTGCGGGCCCCAGATCGGCCCCTCTTCCTCCCGCCCTCAGCTGAGCACTGGCCCGGGAAACCGACCCGGAGTGACAGCCACGGCCAGCCAGCCACCGTGCAGCGGTCCACGGGAGGGGCTTCCGGCTGCCCCGCCTGCGGGACCCGGGCGCGCCAGAGCCAATAGACCACATGAGCTAGGACACCTCCTTGCCACTGTCGTTCCGATAGCCAACCAGAATGAGCGGGCGTCGTCAGGCGGGATGCTCTGGTTGCTAGGAGGCCGGCAACGCAGACGCCGCAGGAAGGAAGTCACGTGACCCTTCCTCTCCCTGCGAGCCTCCTCCTTTGCTAGCGCTTCCTCAGCCCAGCCCTGCGGAGCTGCCAGCGGAGGAACCGCCTCCTGCAGGTCTGAAAGGGAGATTTACTCTTTAAAGCAACTTTGGCAGCAATCTGGAGAGGGCAGGGGCAGAAATCCTAATGAGGAAGAGATTAGACTAAGTGTTCCTTTCGGTGTAGAGAAACTGAGGCCAGGAGAGGAGCGAGGGCAACTTTATGGATAAAGTTCAACTTTCACTTCTTGGTTCCATCGCTTAATAATTTGGAAATTGTTAGAGGCAGGCGGATCTTTGTGAGTTCGAGGCCAGCCTGGCCTACATAGCAAATTCCGGGACAGCTGGGGTTACAAGGAGACCCTGTCTCAAAAAGACCAAAAAAAATATTTTTGGAAATTGTTCCCACATACATCTTTTCATATACCCAGAGATTGTGTCCCTGAAAGAGGTGACATCTGAGATAGAATTGCAAAGATCAGAAGGATCTACACACACGTTTTGTATGAGAGACCTGATATCAAAACCACGGAAGACATTCCTCCTTAGACTTGTCTCCCAGTAGTTTTCACCAGGTCTACATAGGCTTCTACATTCCCATGAGCTTCTGAAAACCAGGCTCACTGTAGTCCACCTTGCAACACCCACTCCTTGAACTTTTCTAGAAACATTTTAAGATATTCACCGCCTGATCCTCACATTTATCCTACAAGACAGGTACTGGCATTGACTGTAAAAAATAATAGCTAAATTATATTTAAATGTATATTATTGAATCAGCCCTAGAAGCATGGGTACTTCATAGTATGTTTTAACCTAGTGACTGTAAGTGAAAATATGGAGGTAAACTTCTGGAGTTATCTCCTCACTTTCTCTATTTAAAATAACTACTGGTCTGATAAAATTGTCCAGTTAACACAGTGTTGCATAATAACCATTCAGTGTTTGTTGCTATAATTCTACCACTGTCTTCAGTGCCATAATTAAAGGTTAAGACTAAACTCACTTACTTTAACTATGTAAAGTCTATATAACCTTTGACCTTGACATATGCCTGTAAATATAAGTTAATGGCATGCTGTTTTTCATAACCCACAGTTATATCTTGATCTCTTCAGTACCTTGAGAAAGTAACATTGTAATGCTGAAACATTTCAAAGAACACACAAATATTGTATATGCTTCCTCTTTGGTTGGAAACAATTTCATTTTTTACTGAATTCTCTATGATCTACACAGGTTCTCTTGACAGCTACAAACTACTGAATGTTAAATGTTCAGTGTCCTCAGATATGTCAGCTAGTCAAGCCAGCCTTTTCCAGCACTGTAACTTTTAAGTTTACCAAGAGAGCTGGCCATTTATACTACACGTAATTGCATTTCTGATTTGTGACAAGTAATCTGCATATACAACAATTTATTGTGTCAATGCTCCATCATACCATAACCTCTTGAAAGATACCTAAAGTGGTATTTGGAGGTCAAATAAAAATTTAGCTGCATGGGCTGGAGCTGGAAAGATAGCTCAGCAGTTAAGAACACTAGCTGCTCTTGCAGAAGACCCAAGTTCAGTTCCGAGCACCCATATGGCAGCTAACAACCGTCCCTAACTCCAGTTCCTAGGGATCTGACACCCTCTTCTGGCTTCCATAGATATTACATGCATGGGTGCACTTACATACAGGCAAGCAAAACACTCATACCCATAAAATTAAAATAAATAAAATTTTTTAAATGCAACTACATGGCAAGATCCTAAATTTGAGACCAGCCTGTGCTACATAGTGACATCCTGTCTCAAAAAAATTAGCCATAGTAACAAAAAATGGTGTGCAATGGCAAAAGAAAACAGACAATAAACAAGCGGGATGGCATTGGTCCCCAGGATGAAACTCACGGGGCTACAGTCACTTAATCTTCCACAAAGGGGTCAAAAGCATATTGGAAAAAATGGAAGCCTCTTCAACAAATGGTGCTGAGGAAACTGGATATCCACAAGATATGTGCAAGAATGGAACTAGGGTCTGGAAAGATAGCTCAGTCCTAAGGGGCTTACCACACAAGCATAAGTACCTGCTTTTGGATCCTCAGCACCCATGTAAAAAACTGAGCATGGTAGCACATGCCTATAATTCTAGTGCTGGGGGACAGAGAGGCTGAATCCAAGGTTCAGTGAAAGACACTGTCTCAGAAAATAATGTGGCGAGTAACTGAGAGAAAATACTGAATGTCTACCTCTAGCCTCCACACACAAGCACGCATACATACAAGAGCTTCTGCATAGCAAAAGAAACCATCATCAGAGTGAAGAGACAGGCTACAGTAAGGGATTAGTGTCTAGAATCTGTAATGAACTCTAGGGCTATTGAGGTGGCTCAGCAGGTAAAGGTCTTTACTGCCAAATTTGACCTAAATTCAATCCTTAGATCTCATGGTGGAGAGAACTAACTCCCAAAAATTGTCCTTTGATCTGCGCATGTGCACCATGGCTAGTGCATTCCCACATTCACACACATATGTGCATTATACACTCACACATTTTTAAAAGAAATGTACATTTTTAAATGTACTTTTTAAAATTTTATGTGTGTTTTGCCTGAATGTATGTAAGTGCACCACATGCATGCAATTGCCATGGAGGCCAGAAAAGGGAACTGGAGTTATAAATAGTTATGAGCCATCATGTGGGAGCTAGGAACTGAACTTGGGTCCTCTGCAAAAGCAGTCAGCGCTCCTAACCACTGAGCCATCTCTCAGCCCCCGAGAAATATTAATTTTAACTGAAGAAAAAACCTGAAAAAGGTAAATATGAAAAACACAAACCATCCTGTTAATAAATAGGCTAATGGAGTGTACAGACAGTTCTCAAAGGAAGAAATACAATTTTAAAAAGTGTTCAATGATGTTAGTCATCAGGGAAATGCAAATTAAAACTACACTGAGATTATATCTCATCCCAGTCAGAATGGCTATCATCAAGAAAACAAACCACAACAAATGCTGGTGAGAATGTGGAAAAGGAGGAACCCTTGTACTCCACTGGGGAAAGTGTAACCTGTGCAGCCACTATGGAAATCAGTACAGAACTACATTGTGATCAGCTACACCACTCCTGAGTATGTACCCAAAGGACTCTAAGTCAGCATACCACAGAGGCACTTGCACACCCATGTTTATTGAGGCACTATGCAACATAGCCAAGATAAAAACCAGCCTAGAAGTCCATTAACAGATGTGTGGATTTAAAAATGTACATATATAATAGGGCATGTTGGCACATGCCTGTAATCCCCACAGTGGAGAGGCAGAGGCAGGCGGATCACTGTGCGATCAAAGCCAGCCTGAGATGGTCTACGTAGTGAGTTCCAGGCCAGCTGGAGCTACACAGTGAGACCATTTCTCAGAACAAAACAAAAAGCGCATATACACAATGGCATTTTATTCAGCATAAAGAAGAATGAAATGATATTTGCAGGTTGCTGGGTAGAATTTGAGATCATTATATTAAGTGAAATAAGCCATACTCATAAAGATGAATACCATATTTTCTCTCATAGGCAGAATCTAGATTTAAATTTATATATGCATGTGTCTATGCCTACATATGTGTAAGATATGAAAGCAGAAAGGGGGAGGCAGAGGTCTAAAGGGGGGGTAGGAGAGAACAAAGGAGCAATGGAATACATGTGAACTAGGAAAGCAGGAGGAAGAACTATTTGGCGGGAGGAAGGAGACCAGTGAGGACTGAGGAAGGATGAAGGATGGCAGTGGGTATGTGGAGGTGAATAAGAACAAAGTATACTGATTTATATGTATAAAAACATCACAGTGAAACCCATTACTTTGTATGGTAGCTAAAAAATAAATATATAAAAACAAAATTCAACTGCATCATACCACAAATGCAAATAAGTAGGCTATCAAATGAACATCTTTTTCTGTGCATTTGCACATGTCCAATTAGTGACAACACTGTCACAATTTTTCTTCTCTGCACTGTGATAATGCCAGCATTTTGAGGTGTCAACTGTAAGCTATGTCCTAAATTAAGAAACATTAATGTGGGGTGGTGTGGGAGCAGTAGATCTTAGAATAGAAGACATTCAATATTATTGTCCTCACAATAATGGAAATGGAGGCACCCAAGGTAGAAAAAAAACACACCAAGTAACTCAGGCCAAGACAAGCTCCATGATGCCAGACTAGCTACAAACTGTCCACCCTTCCCTTGAGAATTCTGCTTGGCACAGTGGCTGTCTACATGTGCAGTTTATCCCTTATGTCTCTCTAAAGCATTGCTCGGAGCTGAGGATATAGTCAGCCGTAGAGCACTCGCCTCACATGCACTGGACCCCAGGTAAGATGCTCAGCAGCACTACCAACAACAAAGTCACATGGCTCAAATGTCACCTCCTTGGAAGCCTTTTCCCTTCTCTTTTCAACACACAGTTAAAGTTAGTCACCAGGCCCAGTCCACAGTTAACAAGCTATAAATTGCTGGGAGTGCTTGTGCATATTTGTAGTCTAAGCACTTGGGAGCCTGAGGCAAGAGGATCATGAGTTTGAGGCCAGACTGAGGTACATGGTGAGTTCCAGCCCAGCTTTGGCAACATAATGAGATCCTGTCTCAAATAATAACAATGATGATAATAATAAGCCATTTTACTGCTCTTTCAGAGGACCTATATTCAGTTCCTAGTACCCACATCAGATGGCTCACAACTACCTGTAATTCCAGCTCCAGGGGATCCTACATGCTCTCTGGCCTCCTCAGACACTTGCACTCACATGCACATACCCACACACAAATACAGATACACATAAAATTAAAAAAATTTTTTTAATTAATTTTATTTTTAAAATTATTTGTATGAGTA